CCTCACCCCTTTCATTGTTTTCTTGATATCCCTCTCTCTCTGCCTTCTGCATATTTATAAAATTCGAAATTCGATCAGCATTTTCATAAGAGAACAAGCACTTTACAAGAATTTTTCTTTGAAATTTTGACATTTCCTTTCCCTTACTTCAATTTTCACTCCTCTTCTCACTTTCCGGTAATTCAAAAAAATTGGGAAAAGAAAAGATATTCAAAAGATGTTCCACAAAAAAGTTTATGCGTATCAGTGAACACTTGCAGCTGTTAGACTTCACAGTTCCTTACTTTTTCTTTTTTTCACAGACAAAACACTGTGAAGTGAAAAAAAGTCATAATGCATAATTTATAGGAATGACTTCAATGTTTAGTTCAACCAAAATATCATTTATTTTTATGTACAAATTAGGGAAGATGATAGACATCAGTAGGATGGTGATAGCCATTCTTTTTTAGAATAAAGTCTGAATAATTTCCTGTGATTTCATTATTTGCTATAGCTGAATATTAATCAGTTTCTGTATGGTATGATTGATTGTTGAGAAGAAAGACTGACTTGACACTTCCCTTCAATATTTTTTGCTGGCCAAATAACAAGTGGTGATATGCTGACAACAAGTGATAAAATCCATACGATGATAACGTAACACAATATTCGCTGCCGAGTGCGTTGCGCGGCGTAACGTAATGGTTGACTGACGGCGCAATAGCGGTCCACACTTATCATACATAAATTTACTATGGAAGCTGTACATAAAGTTAAATCTGCTGACGTCCAAAATCTACACACCTGCAATTGATACTATTTGGGTTTTAGATCTTTTTTGTTCAAGGAGTCAAAATTTTCGTGTGGACGATTTGTTTTGGATGTTATTCTAAACACTCAATGTATGCAGCTTTTTATAGGAACTTTCAGGTAAAAATACTCAGGTAAAGGCATTCATGCATAAAGCACTCAACCGATCATCAAGAATTCGTATACTGATGATCACTAGATCATTGACATAATTTGTCATCAATATTCCCACAGGGTCTATAGCATCCACTTTTTAAGCTGAAGCATTCGAATTATGTTTGACTCATTTGGGAATTGAATACTTTCCCGTTAAGCAGAAAATCATTATTTATAGTATCAATAATCAATTTTCCAACTAAAATTAAAA